GCCTGGTCCCCTGGCAGAGGGCGCTGGCGGCCGTGGTGGAATCATCCATGCTATTTCTTCTTGATTCTTGAGTTGTAGTGTTGTACTATATATTGAGGCTGCTGTTTTTCTTTCACTTTTTGTATGAAACTTGGAAGTTCAGTCTAAATTGTCTGAACCTCAAGTGAATTGAACCAAAATTGTCAGTATATAGTTACTATATGTACATGACATACATATTGAGCATTTGGTTAATAAGTAATCTGTGAAATCCATGCATGAGTGTTCATCCAAAACTTTCCAAAATTGGCTTTTGAGATAATTAATTATCTGATGGCTCACATCCTTTTGGAATAATAAAGAGTATCACCATAGTCCATAGATATCACTTAGCTAACCGGCAATTGATTGCCCAAAACAAGGAGATAGGAGGCTTAGGTATCCATAATTTGAGAAGTTTAAACCTCGATTGGCCTCTTGGCTTCTTTTAGATACCACCAAAATATTAATGTTGTACGAACTAGAATTATAAATTATAAATATAATGCCAAAAATCTTAACATGCTATGTACTTATGTTGTCCTGAGACTAGCAGTTCCTCTTTTTGGAGAAGTGTTATGTGGCTATTGAAGCTGCGCACCTGAGTAAAGGGTGTGTCTTTGATTCTGCGTTCAGGCAGGTTTTCCTGCCAGGCAATAACGCTAGGGCATCGGATTTGGCCAAGTTGCGTCTCGTGAACCAAAGTACCAAACAGACCTATAAACGACTCCGGGGTTTTTTTTTTTTTTTTTTTTTGCTTCTTTTTTGGCCAAGGCATTTTCGAGATAGTTGAGATGCAGTCTGTTATGGGCCAGCCCGTCGTTAAGTTCCATATTGAAGTTTCACCTCAGCTTGGCAATGACCCAGCCAGCCGGCCGATTTTACTTTGCTTTGGCGTTTACTTGTCGTACGTGCACCTCGTATTACTCTTACACAGTTGCATCATCCACTGTTATTTACTTGGTCCTGGTCGAGCTGACTTCGTATGTTATATATATAGTAAGTAGTAATTGACCAGGACTACTACCAATGCAAGTTATTTTCATTTTAGTTACAAACAAACGTCCAGCAAAGGAGCAGGTAATGATAAGTGAGAATGGTAAATGTCTACCACCACACGACCACATCAAAAGTTGTCCATTCCCACACGTAACACATTATATTCCTGCTGACGGCACAAGCAGAAACTTCAAACTAGCTATAGGCATATTGCACTGCCGCCTAGGCGCGTAGCACCTGCACCTCGGATGAAAATGGCACAAATATTGAGAACAATAAAAAAAATCATCGAGAAACATACACCGGCCACAATCCATTTTTTAAAAGTAAAATTTTGCTTGGTTTCGTTTACAAACTTTCCAGAACATACTACTCCTAGTTAGGAAATTGGAAATGAGATAGTTGAAGAGACAAATTAAAGTAGAGGCTGAGCCGCTGAGGTGCCATGCATGCAGCAGCCACGAGAGCGAGAGCGTCCACGCAACGCACAAGGCAGCCTGAGCCACGAGCCGCAGCGGCACACTACACCGCACGGCCTACTACGGGCCAGGCGGCACACTTCACCGCACGCGAGCTGAGCTACAAGGGTCGTGGTGGCGAGGATGACTACACGAGCTAGTGAAATCACGAGGGTGGAGGACTCCGGCGGGCGGGCGGGCATTATGCAGGGCATCCGCAGCCGCAGGGGCCGGCCGGCCGGCGGCAGGACTGATGAGACAGTGATCGACCCATGTGTGGACAAAGCTACTGGTGGACTTGGGGCTTCATCTTTATATGGGCCAAATTTAGGACATGTTTGGTAGAGAAGCTACAAAACAGCTTTGTGAAACTGCCCAAAAATCTCTACCAAACATGCTCTTAGTACGGGGTAGAGTCACTGGGCCACGGATAGAGCCTTTGCCCCAGATTTGCCCCCGTGTCGTACGACTGGTCGTTGGGCTCGACGGAAACTCAACTAGCTAGTAGTAAGCTGACTGCCTCCTACTGAGCCCCAGTAGAGAGTCATGCTGCCACCGCCCTCAATCAAAGGCCGATAGTGCGATTAGCATGCAAGCCGCACGCATGGCCATGGCGGCGTCGCCGGCAGGATCGGCTGGCGCTAGCTGTCGGGGGTCGTTCCTATAGATGAGCATTCGTTCCTATAGACAGGGCCCGACGTGCCGTCCTGACATGGGCTTCATGCTCGGCCGATGGCCCAGGCATGGCCCTACGGGCTGTTTGTCGTGCCGGGCTGGCCCAAAAAACACGGCCAAAATGGCGGGCCGAGCTAGCGCGAGGCCCACTAGATGCCGACAGAGAGAGAGAGAGAGAGAAGCGGAGAGCGGGGTGAAGGGGCTGCAGCTACGCAAGGTCGCGAGCCGCTGGAGGTCCTTCGGTGCGGTCGAGGCGGTCCTTCAGCGCTGGATACACGGCAGTCCAGGCCTGACCCGCGCGACGGCGATGGGGCTCCTCCTCCTCGGCACTAGCTCAGGACCGGCGACAACGCTCCTCCTCGCGATGGTGGGAGATCAGGGAACACGCTCGCGGCTCCCGAGCTCCTCTTCGCACGAGGAGACGAGGAGGGGTGAGGCTGCCTTCGCGCGAGGAGACGGAGCGTGGAGGAGGCTGGGCGCGCGTCGCGGGAGGCCGTGCCTGCCTGCTGGTGCGGGGGGCCAGGGGGCGAGAAGGAGCGAGGAGGTGGCGGCCGCTCATCGATGGTGCTGGCCTGCTGTGGCCTAGGGGCATGGAGGAGCCGAGAAGTAGGACTGCTTAGTGCTGCACAAGGTGGGGATTGAGGAAATATGGCGTGGGGTAGGGGTGGGGGTGGGGTTAAGACTAGCGATGGGGGAGGTCGGGCCACATCTTGGCCTTTCTCTATTTTGCAGGCCGGGCCGTGCCACCCGCCGAGCTAGGGTGGCCTAGGCACAGCTGGTCCTCCGGGCTAGGCTGGCCCGGGCATGGTGACCACTGGGCCGGACCAAGTTTGGGCTGGGCCAAAAAAAACCATGCCTCGTGCCGGGCCACCAGGCCATGGACTGCATGCTCATCTTTAGAGCCCTTTTGATAGGGATTCTCACCTAGCTCCAGGATCTGTTTTTTTGGCTCCCGCAGCCAAACGGGTACAAAGGGAGGTGCTCCCATGAAGGAGCTGCGGGTTTTGCGCTCTCTGTTGCGAGTGCATAGCTTTCATCGGCTCCTTGTCAGACATAGCAGACAAGGTACATCTTTGCCCCTAAAGTTCACGAGAAATAACAGAGAATCTGCCATCGTCTCCCCCATCCAAACCTTATCCGGCCTGATCGCTGGGGCTGGGCTGGCTGGCCAGCCCCCTCACATGGCTATTGTTCACGCGAACCAGCCAGCAGTACTTCTCTCTCACATAAACGAACCAGCAACGATACGAACCAGCCAACCGAACAGGCTGGGGTCGTTTGCATCAGGCGAGCCATGGATACACAGCAGCTCCGTCCTCCCTCCATGGATGCACGGCAGCCCGAGAGGCAAGATGGTCCCAGGCGGTGGCGCATGGCCGGCTGCACGCCCCGGTTGGCCAGCACTGACCCCGAACACCGGCGCGTGGCTGGGCGGTGGCGCATGGCCGGGAGCGCCCCCGGCCGGCGGCACGTGGCCGGGCGTTGCCGCCGGAGGTGGCCCATAGCCGGGCACGGGTGCAGGAGGTGGTTCGTGCCCGAGGAGGGCCGACGACGGCGCGGACCGACCGGGGATGGCAGACGGCTGCGCAAACCGGGGATGGTCGACGGCAGCGCGGCGTGGGGGAGGGCCGGGGAGGGGAGAGCCGCCGACGGGGCAGCAGAGGGCGACGCCGGCGCGAGCTAGGGCTGGAGAGCTGACGCGTGACGCGGTGGAGGATTGGAAGAAGGAAGAAGAGGCGAGGGAGGAGGAAGAAGGAAGATGAAGGCGTGCGGTGGGGTGATGAGTCCGAGAGATAAGATAGAGAGGGAACAAGGAAAAAATCTCAAATTCATTTTTTTCTGTAAGCCATTAATTATTGCTTGTCAATAATTTATATTTTTTTAATTTCAAATATAAATACATCTGCAAACATATAATTCAATTGCTACAACAAAGTCACATATCTAGGGACATCTTGGCCATTCATAATAGATATGAGAAGCTGTTCCGCTAAACATTTTCTAAAATAGCTTCAACTCCACTGGGAAATATGCTCCAGCACAAGATCATCTATAGCTGTTTCGGGGTGGAAGGCGCGGCCATTCTCTGCGGTCTGCGCTAGACCAGCCATCTCCGTGCCAGATGTTGTCGTCTGTTTATCAGATCAGATTGACTGATGACTGGACCGTACGTTGTCTCTGACAGAGGTCAAACTTCGATCGTTTCAAAGTCTAAGCTTGAACTTTAGATGCGGAAAATTTTGGCTTTTGACACGGAGGAGGTTTCATTTTATTTGTAAAAATTGTCCCCCAATGAACTAAAAAGGCTTAAAAGATTCGTCTCGTCGAATGTTTACGGGTAAAGCGTGTATTAGCATTATTCTTTTATCTACATTTAATACTAATTGTACAGTTTTGTGGGAAAATTTGATGTGACGAGAAATCTTAAAAAAATTTAAATTTTGGGTGGGATCTAAACAGGGCCTGAACTAATTTTCCGGATTACACGACACGGAGGAGGTAACATTTTAGTATTGTTGACGCGTTGTAACATGTCACAGTTCTTCCTTTTCTCTCTCTCATCAACCAAAAAAAGAACAAAAAAAACAAGTGTCGTCTCGCCTCATCAATGAGCTCACCAACCAAACCTTGCATCTATGGCGGTGGCGGGGTCCTGCAGTTGGTGCATAAATATTCGTGCGCTGCAGAACTCAGCAGCTGCATTACTGCAACGGGACCTGCCTCTCTCTCCCTCCCTCCCTCCCTCGCTCGCTGCTTGCTCTTCGCCTCGGTGCCCACCAATCCACACGCGGCCGAGCTGGCGTGAACAAATCCGCAGCTACCTAGCTGCAGCGCGGCGTCGGCGCAGCCATGACCGCCTCCGCCCGCGTCCTACGCCTCCTGCCACGCCAGCTTACCATGCCTCTTCGTTTGGCATTCACGCCGCCGTCCAGGGCGGCGGCGCGCAGCTACTTCCTGATGCTCCTGCAGCAGCAGCCGCACCGCTGTTGGGCGAGAGCTGCTGCTTCCTCCGCCAGCAACTCCAGCTCCATCTGCGAGCAGTATCCGCAAGCACTCATCGCCGCCGCTCCGGGTCGTGGTGCTACTTGTCCCCGCGACGGAAAGGGAGACGGAGACGGGGAGGCGGCGGCGCGCGGCGGCGAGAAGGCCGCAGGCGCGCAGCAGGACGACAGCAGCTGCGCCGCCGCGCCTTCCCCGCGGGCTCCCAAGGAAAAGGAGGCGCTACGGGCGGCTGCCGCGGCGGGAAGAAACGGCCGCTCCGGCGCAACATCCAGGCAACGCGTCCGTACGGCGAAGCCACAGGTGAATAAGCCTGCGCCGCCTGGTCCTCCCAAGCAAGGGCGAGGCGGCGGCGGAGGGATCATCCACTATGTTCCTCGTTCCTCCTCCTCCTCCTCAGCATCCTCCGCTTCGCCGTCGACATCGTCTACTCGTCTTAGGGCGACCAAGAAACAAGAAAGCGAGGATTGAAAGTTATCGGCCAACTGGCCAAGTAGAGTGTGTAGATTAGTAGCAGATCGATTTGCTAGATCACGCTGCATTGTACATTTTCTGTTTGGATTGGATGAGATGAGACCAGATTCCATGATGTTCCTGTACATTAATTAAGTTTATTACAGGAGTAGGTGTTGGTTTCTGCCAGCCTAAATTAACACAAGCTAAATCAAACCAGCACCAGCAGCCAGCGAACAGACCCACTGGTGGAGAGCTGAGCTCAGGAGTCAGGATCCCAGTGGTGGAGATCGACATTGAATATACTCCTACAGTACTCGGCGTGAGAGTTGGTGGGCGAGTTAATCCATCTCATCTTGGGGTACAGTCGTGCTCAGTTGACGCGGATGAGATCGACGGGATGAGAGATCGAGCGAGGACGACGTTTCAGTTCTAGTGTTTGTCTGCATCGTCTTTCCGATGCAATTCTTTCATGCTGGAAAAGGAATTCAATTCTGTTTCTCTTGCTTTTTACTGAAGGAAAAAAAACTGTGTCTGATCTGTGAGCTCGCGCTACAGTACACATTTACAGGAGCAGGTGCAGATGCAGCTGGGAGCAGGTGTGGTCGCCCGCCACGATGTGCAGCTGGCTGTCAGTCTCAGTCTTGCAGCGGCTGGCCTGACCATACATTGATTTCCATTAACGCATCGAGACACGCTGTTTTGCTCACAAGATCATTGCCAGTACTTGGGAGGCATAAACGCAAAGATCATTAGTCTAGCACGAAGAATGAAGAGAGAAAATGGAGAAGAAGCGAGACGGCGGGCAAGGGAGGGCGAGCCTCGGTAGAGGAGAAGACGGCGATGATGAGGAAGCAGAAAAGGTGGACATGGAGACGGAGACCTCTTCTTCGTCTTCGTCGTCGTGGTTATTCGCTGCACACCCATGCTCGCTGCTGCAGTACGTCGTCCGGGCTTGTGCCGGCCGCCTGCTTGGCCAGTGCGGTGGTTCTGCACTTCTGCCCGTGATGGTTCAGAGAGCCTGAGAGAGGCAACAAGGCGGCTATTATTGTAAGTTCGGCTGTCTATGAAGCCTCTTTTTTCCCCTGTTCTTCTCCGATCCTTTTTCTCCATCTAGAATGCAGAAAATTTATTTGGACAAAAATAGATGTTCTCGTGTATTAAATTGGGTGTGTGTGTGATAGGACCCGAGGCCTTACCGGAATTTCTGCGAAGATTGTAGGGATGGAAGACGGGAGGACGAAGTTTGATCTCTCAGCGGCGGCGAGGAGCCGTGGCGGCCCGAGGGAGACAGGTGGATCAAGTGATGGCCTTTGAGGCCAGGCAAATAATGTTAGCCTTGCTTAATTCCTTCAATCAATGTTTACATGATATTTATATCCTCCCTAAACAACCATCTATGAGATCCTATATTTAAGGAATAAATATTCTATTTGAGGAAATAACAAATAAAAAAGATAACCCGGGCTATTAGCCCCCTAATAGACGACGCCACTTTAGCCACTTGTGGGCCGGCACCTAGAGTAGTGGATGCCGGTTATAACATCTCTCCCCGTCTCCGCAAACAGCTCGTCCTTGAGCTGAAAGTCGGGTAGAGGTCCTTGAAAGCTTGGAACGGCTCCCAGGTAGCATCGTTGTTGGACATGCCGTGCCACTTGATGAGAACATGCCAGGCACCCCGCCGAGTTGGGCACGAATGGCACGCTTAGGTGCTGGTAGGAGACGGTCGTCCAGTGTAGGCGGCAGGGGCGCAGGCATGGTCGGAGGGTCACCTTTGTGGGGTTTGAGCAGCCCCACGTGGAAGACATCATGAAGGCGCGCGTCCTTGTGGCAGAACCGCCCGAAATAACACGCTTTCAAAGGCGCTCGTCTTCCACTACACACTAAGCACCCCGAAAATTAGCTACATCGGATGGTTCCGTCGAGCACACCCCAAGGAAGAACTCGAACGATCCACGTTTTTCACCCAGGATCCAATAATAAGAACGAGTTTACAATACTTAATCTATTTCATACAACAAGAGTTCTCGGAAATACATTATTACAATACCAAGTTTAGAGTGCGGAATTTAAACAGCGGAATTGAAATAAACATCTAAGGATAAAATACAAGGATCTGTCTGTGCCCATCAGAAGAATCCTCCACACAACAGCCACTCTCCAAGCTGCACCTGCAACAGGGGTAAATAAACCCTAAGTACACAATGTACTCGCAAGACTTACCCGACTAGTGGGAATAATTTCCCGACTCCAAAAGATATGATAAGCTTTATGGTTTGCTGAATTTTTTTTTTACAAAAAGTATTACTAGTAGTGAATCTTTATGTACGTATTTTATTAGCAGTCATAATTATTTCATTAGCTAACCATTCTATGTAGCATCTGTTCTACTTTCAAGCAAGAGTTGAGCAATCAGATCCATTTCACCATCTTTCATCTTCTAGTTATTACTACGGTGCTAGATCGTAGATAAGTCGTACCGTATCACATGGCGATTCGCGAACCAATGTATCACAGCTGGGTACCCCGAAACACATGCCTCGCTTGTACCCTAGGCATAAGCAAGACCAACCCACCACTCTCCTATCAAGGGGTCCAGATCCCCGTCTAAACTTGGACTCCAAGCCCCCACTCCTAAGTCCCGGACTCAGTGTAGTTCTTAGACCTCCACCATCCCCGCCTCCAATCAGTCAGTCCAAAAAGAGTTGGAACCCACGACAAGAGAGCAACGAGCCTTCTCGCTCTCATAAGAAGCAAGTATGTGCTCAGAATAATAAGTCTGTGACCTGATTAGAATCCACAGCAACGGACAGTCCTTAACCGACACGGACAGGAAAAACAGTGTAACCAAGCTATGCCCCGTTGACCGCGGGACACAACCTATTACAACCACAAATATCCGTACCATATCCCTGCCCGGTCTCTATTTCCTTTCACCATTTTATCATGAGAATAATAATAATAATCACCTATTGTGAGTAACGGTAGTTTACTCACGCTACCGATAGTCCAAGCATAGCAGCTACTGCTAGACCTATGCTAGTAGGACTCATAGGTAGGTTATCTATGCATGTCATTTTAATATAAATCCTGTAACATAAATGCATATCATATATATATATATATATATATATATATCCAGTGATTATTTAAAACAATGGTTATGCATCGGGTTTTGTCTTGGGCAGGCAGGGTGTCAGCTAAGTCAGTCAGTGATGGCTCCGGAACCTCCTCCTGCACAAGGACCTCCTCCTCGTACTCCTCGATCACCTCCTCGTATTCCTGCTCTCCGAGCGGTCATGAACTCCACCAACTCGTTCTCTACATGCATGCAACGATGATGCAACACTTAGTATTTTGGCAACAGCAACTCTTAAAATAAGAATACACATGCTAAGCTACTAAGCTAGCTCTAATGACTAAGATACTAAGCTAATCATTATCTCTACCAAATAGATTCCAAGCTCACCCTACAAGTGCTTAATTTTTTTATAAACCAATACCATGCCATTATTCATTTAGCCTTAATGGGTATTTATCTACCATATTAAATAGTCTATTTTAGGGTTACAAAAATTACAGTGAGCACATAATAATACAATGAAGCTACTATAAAAATTTCAAGGCTTTTGCTATCACCAATCTACCACAAAAATTCCTACAAGAATTAACTTAATAATATTGAGCACTCTCAAATGATTTAATAGCTCCTGGTATCAACAAGCACATATATGAACTAAATACACTAACAGATATAGCACAATTTGAGGAATCTAACAAAATTTATTTCATAATTTTTTGGATATCTACATTATTTTATATTAATTACCAAAGTTTAGCTCAGAATTAAAATGAAAAGTTATTTCTATTTTCTACGAAAAAGATAAACCGATTTCGGCCCAACGCGGCCCACGCGGGGCGCGGCCCATGCATGGAGGCATCCCACGGTGAGGAGCCCGCACGCTGGCACTCTTGCAAAAACACCCTCGTGTTATCAGATAATAGCCCGAACACTACACGTATTTTTTTATAGACAACGACTTTGCAACGGAGCCCTCGTATCTTTTCACCTTCGCACCGGAGAGGTCCACGAGACACCGCGCTCACCGGCGCGGCGGGCGGTGGCACTAGGCGGTACGTCGGCCACCCGAGACCCTTATGGACCTAGCTAGGGGACCAATGCTCACTTATGGGCCGACGCGCGACGATGGGTGGTGGTTGCACGGACGGGGGTGAAGCAAAGCAGGCTCTCCCCGACGGTGGTGACCTGTAGCGGCGGCAACCGCATTCTGATGAGCCACAGCATACAACATATAATAGAGGTGATGCATAAGCATTAGTGACGCACCACGATCCTACCCGTAGAGGTGTCCTAGCCAGAGATGCCCTGAGCAAGCCTGGCTACGTGTGCGTGGCGAGCTCGATGACGAACCGCAGCGACACGCCCATGTCAGCGGCGTGGAGGTGGCATTAGGGCTACGACTGGCATGCGCACGACGAAGAGGGGTTCTAGGCGAGGCTAGTGGTGCGGTCAATTCGACGCGAGATGGCAAGGTTGGAGCTGGCCACGATAAGGCGGGCTGGGCCTTAATGGCACGGCGGCGGGAGTAAAGCTCCAAAATTGTAGCTTGGCCTAGCCGTAATCAAGGCGGGGTGGGGGTGGTCTGTAAGAGGACGTAAAGGCCTAGATGCGGGCATAAGGAATTGATGAGAGGTGCTCGCTCTCTAACTCGCGGTGACCGCGTCTCGACAGCGGTAGAAAGCAGAGGAAGAAAGAGAGAAAGAGAGAGATGGGGCGCGACAGGTGGGCTCGGCTCGTCCTCGTCTTGGCGGGACGAGAGCGGCGAGATCAGAAGACCCACATGCCGGCACTAGCCGACAGGCGTGCGCCCGACCGGCGTGGCCCGCACGGCCGCACTGTCTTAATTGACATGGCCACGGTGGCTCGACCATGTGCGCGCGACAGAGGCGATACGCACAGGACCGGCAACAGCGCAAAGATGCAGCGGACAGGCACGGACGTGACGACGATGCGACGACAGCGGCAACGTCGCGACGCGAGGCAGTAGTGGACGGATGCGACGGTAGCGCAACGCGACCGCGGCGGCACCAACGGCGGCAGCGCGAGGCTAGGCAGCCGGGCGCGGGGCTAGTGGCTCGTTGCGGCCGGCCTCGACCAAGCCCAGGTGGTACGACCGGCCAAGCGTGGCGGTACGAGGTGACCGCGCGGGACGCGGTCATGGGCGTGGCGCGGTGTGGTCGCGCGGTGACCGCGCCACCGTCCCGAGACATGTGACGTGCATGAATTTTAAAGCGCTCAACACGACCAAACGGTCGCTCCAGGAGCCAAACCAGCTTCACCATGCTCAAGATGGCATATGAGACTACCAAATCGAGCTATAACACTACGCCATCCTTTAACCCAATCTCTCACAA